TTATACTTGTGAGGATTCAGAAAAGCAGTATTCCAAACACAAGAGTAGGCTCTCAACATATATCACTTCTGTTCTCTCTTTTCTGCTGTCCTTTAGTTATACATTTGTGTCAGCTTAAATCCAATATGCTAATTTGAAAGCTTCCCAATCAGAAAACACTTTTCCTCTGTATATAGATAGACCAGCTTTGAGTGGTGAATTTTCATTTTGTGCTGTGGCATATTAGCATATAGTATATACATTCTAGCTCGGAAAGCATTACATATGAAAGATTTCTCATGGCACATGCTACTTCTGCTATTGGTTATTTCACAGACAAGTCTCAATTCCCTTCTTCCTTCCTGGAAACCCTAAAATATATCATGGAAGTGAAAAAGGAAACTGGAACTGATTTCAATTATCTAGTTAGTGAAACTGAAATAAATAGAAATATTAAACCAGCACCTTTTATTAGTGGGCTCTGCCAGAGTCTTCCCTAGGTGAAAGCATGTCAGTCAATATTTTGGGCCTTTATTATACTCTATCCTAGGCACCAACGCATTAGAAACTTTAGTAAATATTAATGCCTTAAGTCTCCATTATCATTACATAAATTATTGAGCTACTATAATTTTATTAACCCATGATTCTTATTGTTTGTGTCTTCTACTAAATCCTTGGAGTAAGTAGTTAGGCTGGTGTGGTATCCCTAAAGTTGATTAGAACTCCGAAACAAAAATTGTGTCTTTTATTTAATAATACCATTTGGGCACTTTTTATTAGTCTGCAAAAATAAGCCTGAGTAAATGCCCTTTAACTTGGCCTTTCTTATAAGGGTTTGTGAAAGTATTGAATACACAGTTTGTACATTAACTGCAGGACATATTCTACAGCACATACCTTGATCATCCTTCAAAACCAAATTTAGTTGGTGCAAAATTTTCCATAATATACTATCATTGAAATAATAGTACAGTAAATGAAATATCTTAAAATGTTTTTGTCAGGACTAGAACTCATATTGAAAATGGGATATATCTTTTCTAAGATATACAAATCAGTTCAATGGTAATTTTGGTTAAGTTATTTATGCCATCAGAAGAAGAGGGCTTATCAGTAGTCGTAATTTATTCATGTATTGGCACATAATATTCTATTCCACAATCATCTATAGAAGGATCTCAATTTATTTACATTTATGTTTATTCAATTTTTGCATTAATAATGTTACTCTGAGAATATCCACTAAATAATTATATCTATAAAATATTTATATGCGAAATAAATGGAGAATACACAGTGACATAGAGTCATTTATTTAAAACACATAGATCTGATGCTGGATAAGTGTATGCATAGGGTAGTTGAAAAATTTGCCTTTATTCAGTCATATCCTGTTTGGAAACAGGCAATACCTTCGAGTCAATTCTGAAGCATACTGATTTTTAAGGGTCAATGTAGTGTGTATGTTGTTATTTTATATGTCCGTCATGTGCTAAATACACAAATGATCCTAAAGATTACATTAGCATTCACTAAAAAAAAAAAAAAAAATCGTTTTAAAGCTACATTAACACTTTTATTTCTGTTAGAATATATTTTTAGGCATTTGCTGAGAGTTTACCTGGGAAAATAAAATTATAAATCTTTTTGATAATAACTAAAAGTAAAAGTTAGCTTACCATATTTATAATGACCTGGATATCCAGAGACATTGTATAATAAAATCAGCCCTCGGACAGATCTCCATACTATCTTCTTAGTGCACCTTTAATCATGGAAGAAAAAAAAAAAACTGTCGATGGATAATGTAATTGCTGTTGCTGAACATAGCAAGAGTTACTGCATCTTTCTGATTCGTGAAATCGCGTTTGTACATGTCCCTCTCAACGTCATAGGCTTTTAATCTCTTGACATGCTACAATGCAAGATGCAGTTGTAATTATTGCACGATAATTTTTCTAATTTATATTCATTCCAAAATATTTACAATTTATTAGCTGTGGTTAGCATCTTATCTACCTTCCGTTTTTATAGTAGTTCCTGGCTACCTCTCTGAAGATTGGTGGCACGTTTCCCTTCATGTCTCTGTACAAACCAGGTGCAGAATGCACAACTTCCTTCAACTATGAAACATCCTACCCACACTCATCTAAAATGACAAGTACTCTCTACACATATCCTTAATTCTACATTTTAACTTCTTTGAAAATATGAACCAGAAGAGATCATTTGAGAAGCACATACATACAGAGTGATGACAATCCTTTGTGGCCCCCTAACACTTAAAATTAAATCTGAGTTATTTTCCAACCATCAAATCTTAGGTATTTTGTCCCCTTCCATCCCTCACCTTTAATATTTTTCTTTTCTTACCCAGAACATTGCAGTCACATAGACTCCAGTCAGTTCTGAGGATAGGCAAATTCTTTTTAGTCACATGGCTTTTGCATGGGCAAATTCATCTGCCTGGAATGCTTTTCTCTGTTCATTTTACACAGATAGATTCTTCTTTTCCATTAGGTTTTTCGTTAAATGTCAACTCCTTAGCAAGACTGCAAGTCTACCTTGCAAAAAAAAAAAAAAAAAAAAGGTCTTTCCTTGCATTATATTTTTTAACTCCTTGCTTGGTCCCCTCTTGGGCTTTACTGCAGTCAGCAATTAGCAATTACCAGTTGTCTTGTGCATTTAGTTTTATTTTTCTTTCCCCATTAGAAAATAATCTTTCTGATAGGCTAGCTCTTTTTGATATTCAATAAACACTTATTGAATGCATATATACATAAATAAACTAAATATTTAATGTACAAAAAGGTAGGCTAAAGCAGTGCAATCTGGAGCTAAATGGTGCTGAGTGGACTCTAATTTTAATCTCAACTTTAGCATGAACTAGTTATAAGCTTTGAACATTTTTTTTCTTGCAATGAGAATTTTTAAGATCTATCCCTTAGTAACTTTTAAATATATAATACAGCATTATTAACTGCAGTATCAGGCTATACATTACATCCCAGGACTTATTTATTTTATCATTGCAAGTTTGTACCTTTTGACTACATTCATGTATCTCACCCATCCCTCTATCAGAAGATAATTTATACACCTAGAGAAAAAAACATTATTGGGAGCACAGACTCTTTTAAGGTGTTAGGTTTTTACATAGGAAAGCTCTTGATTAAAAAAAAAAATTCCTAAAGAAATGTGATGTTTTTTCCTACTGTCAGAAAACAAAATTATCAGCGTCATGAAATTTGATATCACAAAGTCATCACAGCTTATGTCATGAACTTTTAACAGTCCTATCACATTTGTTAGCCACATATTCCCTTACCATGGCCCCATGGTAACATACACTCAGTCTCTGGGTGGGATGAACATGGATGGCGCCAAGGAGATTGTATTTGTTACTTCTGGGTCACTGAACTTCTCCGTCTCTGCCTTCATTTCCATACCTACAAAGAGAGAAAGCAATACTCATACCATGTTTTCCAGAATGCTTCTGTGAAGGCAAAGTGAGATAATGGATGTGAAGTCACATTGATATTTTAAAAATTATATAAGTCAAAGATATTCTCCCAACCTTATCTTGAAAAATAATGAAAAGATTTGAATACAGTAGGAGAACTTGGAAAAGTTTTAGCATGCTTTATTTGTAGGGAAATTAGCCCCCATTCTTCTACACTGAAAACAGTGGAGGAGAGGCAAATTGGAAAACGAATGTGTCTGAAAAAAGACGGTGGAAAGATTGTTTTGTAACACTTGAAGCATGCAAGCTGCATTTTCAGGCTCCATTATTAAGGATGGGCACTGCTTCCAGTGTTGGTGATACCTGCAGGGTTTAAGTCTCCTTTAAATAGAGGTGGGATAGATACAAAGTAGCTCAGCCACAGCACCTGGTGAAACGCACTGTCACATCTAAAATAAGGAGAAAGGGGGAAATTAGAGCAACTGTGGTTACCTATTTTCTGGACTCTTCCTTCTTCCACTGTTTTCCCAATTCTTTCACAAACTCTAGTTAACTGATTATATCGCTTTTTAGTTTTAAAATTCAGGCCCCTCCCAGAACCTTTCCTATAGATAGGAATTAGGGGAGGCGGGATGGATGGGAAGGAAACCAGGACTAAGTCAATACGCTAATGATTGTACACTGGAAGCATGTTGCTGTACAATATCGCCCCAGAGCCGCTTTGTTTATCAATGAACATCCTGCTGCGTCTCCGAGATGTAGGTCAGGCTCATTGGAAATATCAGCAGCCGATCACAAGCAGTCTTCATGATATTTCCAGACCCGGTGCGCTGCTGATTCTTGCACACTGGAGTGCGTCTGGAGTGCACGATGGAGAGGGGGACACCTGTACCTTAGGGACGCAGGTGAAGTCCCGTCTACCTGATACTTTCCCTGGTGCTTTCTCATTCCCTCAGCCGCTCAGTCTTCATCTCCATCTCCCTTGCTGTCTTGGACCCGAGCTTCTCTGCTAAACGGGTGTTTTTCCCGCTCTCTCCTTTCACCGCACCTCAGCCGAAGACGGAGTGCTCCACACAACTGGGCATGCCTAATAACCAGGGAAAGCTTGGGCTGCAAGAAGAAAGCTTTTGCACCTTCTGCGCTCCCCTCCCCTCTGCAGCTGCCTCCTGCCAGTCAGGCGATCCGACGTGCTGCGCAGCCCAATGAGAGTCCGCAGCTTTCGCGGGGGCCCGGCCTCTCGATGCGCCGCCACCAATGAATGGTTGGCGGAGGTGGGGAGCTCCCTGTTCCCGCCTCTCCAGTTAAGGCCGCTGGTGTGAGCCGGGGCTCAGAGCGAGCCAGGGACGACGGAAGGGACGGGCAGGTGTGGGCGCGGGGCCGCTCAGCCCGACGGCGGGAGTCGCAGCCACTCGGTGCATGGGCCAGTGAGGACGCGCGGAGATCCCCGCGCCGCGGCGAAGGCGGAGCAGCGCGGGAGCAAGGCGCTGCCCGGCGACCCTGCGTCCGAGCGAGCGGAACCTTGCGCTTCGCCCGGGGACGGTCCGAAGTCCGCGCTATGGAAGAGGAGAAATATTTGCCTGAGCTGATGGCAGAGAAAGATAGCCTGGATCCATCTTTTGTGCATGCATCGCGCCTTTTGGCGGAAGGTAGGACTTGCTCTCACAGATGGGCACAAATCACTGGCCGCCTATCTCACCCGCGGCTTGGTTAGGGGAGTGAAGTTGGGGAGGGACGCCTGTCTCCTTCGCCGATACTGTCCCCCTGAAGATGCTCGCTTCGGAGCTCGGGCGGACGGAGCCTATTCTTGGGGCGGGCAGCAGTGCTCCTTCTCTACGTCTTAATTTGGGGAAGACCAAAGCTACGAGATATAATGGCAGTGGTGATGTGACCTGTTAGGATCATTGATGGAGAAACCGTAAAGTGTAGCGCGGTCAACAGGGATATTTTCACTTTGCAGAGGAAAAGGAAATCAGTTTGGAAGTAAATGGTGATGAGCTTCTTCGCTACAAATCAGCATTTATTTTTATTTTATTTTATATTTTATTTTTTGCTGCATTTGGGAAGTGATTTTGATACCCTTTATCTAATTATAGCCTTTCCTATGGAAAGACTTAGAATTAACCTAGATGAAACTATGCATGTTCGTCAATGTTAGTGAATGTGGCAAAGGCTAAAGTGCTTTTCAATTTATTTGAAGTGTGATGATTGGGTACTCTGTGAGATACTGGCCCCTGGGAACACTCCACAATTGATCAACTGTTTTACCAAGTGTGCATTTTCTTTTGTGTACCTGTAATGTTAAAGGAGATTTCATTCCCAGAAGAACATGATGTCTTGTCTTTTGTGTTGCTTTGAAAGGTTGTTTAAACAGACACACACACACACACACACACACACACACACACACACACAAACTTATGTATGACAGAAATATTAGCCCAATTACTCCATTCATCTTGAGAGCATGCCATCTATCTGCTAAAGATACAATATCTGTAATAATCTATACATGCCTTTTTAAAAACAACTCGTTTTTTTTTTTTATTTTTTGATGAATGCTTCATTAATAATGAATTGCTTCATCATCAAATTGACTACAATGCAGTTTTGTAGCTTAGGTTGTTATGGACTTACCTATAGCAAAACTAAAAGTGACAACTTCCTCTTCCTTTCCCTTCTTCATTAAATGAAATGTTTTCTTTTTTGAGACTTAGTTGTACATTGAAGGAAAAATTGTAATCCTCCATGTATGATTCAAATAGCCATTAGGTTTGTTTAAATATTTAATTGATGGAGTATTATTTACAACAACAGTAAAGTTCAAGGTATTTTTTCCTTTTTGCATACTAAACAATTAAGGAAGATTTGTTATCAAAATCTTGAACATGTGAAATAGCTAAACTGCTTCTCAAGGAACAAGTTAGTTTTTTAGAGTATTTGGAAAGGTAAAAAGCAATGATACTTGGTTACTGAATGAAAAAACTAGAAATTCAGATGAAAAGTTAAGTCAATTTAAAAATTAAACTCTCACTCTACTTTATTAAAAATAAAGATGACTGCATAAAAATGATAGGAATATTGAAAATTAATGAGTTAATAAATGCTTAAGTTAAGATTGTTCAAAATGATTAAAAATGCAATTAAGCCTTCTCAAATCATGTATTTCAGTATATCTTCCAGAAATGTCTTTATTAAGCTGATAACGTCTTTAAAATGGAAAAAAAAAGTTTGGAATTGATCATTTTCTCTGACCTGCTAATTGGAGTTCTCTTTGGGACAGCAGGCTCAATGATTAATTCATAAGTCATTGATGAGAGTTAGTGGAGTTAGTGTACGTCTCAAAACTGCCAAACTAAAAAAATGCATATAAGAAACTCTTAGTAGAGTGCATAAGTGTTTCTGTGGCTGGTGAAACAGTCAGAAAAGGCTATGCCCTTGATTCCTTAGCATTTTATCTTTCCCAGGAACTTGATTTCTTGATATTTAGAAACATGTTCCAGCGTCCTTGTAATTTAATTTTTTCCCAGCAGGGGGAAGCATGTCCTGCTTTTGTAAAGAATTAGGAGGAAAAAGCTCTTAAATAGAAAAATATCTAAGTAAGAAACAAAGGGAGGTGTTCAAATTTCAGAGAAATCACAATGAGGAAAAGAGAATGGAGGAAGTGATGATTATAATCTCGGAGTATATAAAGAGCTATGCAAAAAAGATGCATAAGGTTTATATTAATTCTTTATTTGTACCTCAAGTTTTTTTAAATGTACTTATTGAAGAGTAAAAGGTGAGTGTCCTTTGGAATCTCTAATAAATCTTAATGTACACTTTACATTATGGATCTTTTATTGTTTTATCCAGGGCCATTTGCCAAGATTTCCAGGTTTTGTTTCAGATCTCTATAGGAGAATATGTTGAGATGATTTTATTTCTCTTACCTGGAAATGCACTGATTGAAGGCAGTGGCTATAAATAAACCTGACATAGATATTCATTTGGAGAGAAGGTGCACACTGAAGTACATTTCAGTCAGTACTGTGCAGACAGTCTCAAGACTGAGTGAGCAATAAAAATGATCCAGATGATTCAGTTCTTTGGAATGATTTTCTGGAAGCTAATATATATAAGGTCAGTGATGTAAACCAATGAGCTTTCACAGTGATTTATTTTACATTTTTGATTGGTGATAAATGCAAATCAGTGCTCATTTGCAACTACTTCATAAGGCCATGGGGTTAAAAGTAGTAGTTTGTTAATTATTTTAATTATTTTGATTGTAGTTCATTTTATTTCACTTGTTTCTGCTATGTGTTTTCAGTAGAAAGCTAATGGAAGAGTCCATACGTTTTATGTATTTGATTGTTACTTAGAAAAGATCTTGAATAATATGGTTTGAAGAGTGCTTATGTTTGACTAATTAATATAACTTTCCTTCTGTGATTATAATATTGTTTAATTATCCATTTGTTATGGAAGGTGCTTTCGAATATGATAAAACAGCAAACTCAGCATGATCCTTAAAGTTCCACTCAGCCTCTGAATTTGCTTGCCACATGAAATTAGATGAGGTTATTTCTATCTAAGCTGCTTCTGGAAAATGCACTAAACTGTGAATCCAGATACCTGGATTTTAATTCCACTTTTGCCTAAACTGAATGTTGATAAACTTCCCTTCCTCCAGGCCCAGTTTCTCTGTCTCTGAAATTAAGGAATTGGACTAGATGATGTATAGGTTTCTTTGTAGTCGCAGACTTCATTAGAATTACAAAGTTCTCTGGTTTGCAAGATTTCCTAACCTGTATTTTTCACAGATATTGGTAGATTCATCATTGTTTTGGTTGACTCATCAAATGAGGAGGTCAAATATTGCCAAATATCCCAACAGTTAAAATGTTTTTTTTTTTTTTTTTTTTTTTTTTTTTTTTTTTTTTTTTTTTTTTTTTTTTTTTTTTTGAGAACACTAGGTGGTATTTTTAAATTTGGGTGAAAAGCTTGACCTTCCATCTAGGATTGGCTTTCATGTTTGTAGATATGGAATGAACCTTTAAAACCATGAGAGAAACTGGGAATATTTATCACAAATGGTAACTTGCAGTGACTTAACTACATGTACATTCTCAGTAAGGATCATTATTTAATTTAAATTGTATTCCTCAAAATATTTTCCACAGATCATGGAGAGTTCTTAAATTCAGGAAAGGTATTGATGTAATGTCTAAAACTAGCTTCTGTTAAAAAAAATATTCATGTGACTTCCTTTTGATTAATGTAACCCCTTTTTTTCTCCTAATACATTTGGGATAATTTGGCTTATGTTTCTTAAATAAAAAACAAAAATTGGCAAAAAAAAATGACAAGATAGTTTTGATTTTCAATTAAAACACATTTATGAGATCGTGGAAAAATTCTGCTTTAACAGGCAAAACCCTTGGGACAAAGTGTTGACACTTTTGTCTATTGTGAAATGTAAGGTATGTCATTTACCCCCTCTCTGATTGTCAGTTTCTTCATCTGTAAAACAGGAAAAGTAATATCTACCACCCATGAGTGTTTTAAGGTTAAAACAATTCTGTTTGTAATAATATAAACCATATTTTATACAAACGTAAATAGAATTTTTTATACAAAAATAACAGAAACAGAAATTATACAAATATGAGATGATACTTTTAAGATTTTCCTTAACATTTTTTTTTTTTAAATTTTTTTTTTTCAACGTTTATTTATTTTTGAGACAGAGAGAGACAGAGCATGAACGGGGGAGGGGCAGAGAGAGAGGGAGACACAGAATCGGAAACCGGCTCCAGGCTCCGAGCCATCAGCCCAGAGCCTGACGCGGGGCTCGAACTCACGGACCGCGAGATCGTGACCTGGCTGAAGCCGGACGCTTAACCGACTGCGCCACCCAGGCGCCCCTTCCTTAACATTTTTTAATGGCATTGCAGACTTGACCTCAACTTGAAGCTTGACTTTGTAAGAAAATAAGCACTGCCTTTACTCTCTGAATCACTGCTACGTGAAATTTGAACTCGGAGACCAAATTATAAAACAAATTATCTTATGAAAAATTGTTCCAGTGAGGGTTTTTAAAATATCATGTTCCTTCAGTCACTGGTCACTTATTCATTGCTTTACTTGAGCTTGATTAGCCCTTGTCCTGTGTGTTTCTAGGGTAATTCCAAACCTTCCCAGGCCTTGCCATAAACCCACACATCCTTCACTCTTGGCAGCTGATTTCGTCCTCTGTTTTAGTAGGAAATGGATATATCTCTTCTGATGTTTTTCAACCTCCTATCACCTAAAAATTTCTATAATCCTCCTTACTGTCTTCCATTCCCAGAAGGTGAAACGTTTCTTTTTTGTTCTAGGGTGACTCATGTACACCAGTATCCTTAGTCCTAAGGCTCATCATGTCTTCAAGACTTGTTCTACAGTAATATCCCTTCTTCAGTGTCTCCACTTTCTTCCTCCCTATCCACTCTTTTATTGTAGCAGCCTGTAGGCATGATCCAATCTGAATAACTTAAAAAAGATAAAATAGTTTCAGTGTACCTCTTCAAAACCCTTCATTCTGGCTTCTGTCCTCATCATTGTCCTAAAACCAGTGACCCTGGAGACAGAATCATCTCCTAATTGCCAAATCCAATAAAAGTTT